CATTTCTAGACATTGTTGAAAGGCAAGTCGGGTAAAGAGCTTTTTTTGTCTTAAAGGGGCAGTTTGTATTTTGAGACAGGCTTGAATAAGCTAAGTAGCCAATAGGCAGAGGGTAGCATAATTTGTCTGATTCTTTGTAATAATGGTATGGGAATAATAATGCATTTTATTTTGTAAAGTGGTTTCTTGCATCAAACAACAAAACAACATTTTCAGTCACCTCCTTGTCTGAAGAACAAGTGGATAAACAGGTTAATGTCAAGCCCTGCATGTTTTTTTTCAAAAGTCTCATAATTTAGGCCTACATTGAACACCACACATTGGCTGCTACTGTAGGCTGAATGATAGAACATCTATTTCCATGTTAAAATGTTATGGGATGCATTTTCTATATTGTTTTTGACGGTAGACTACTCTGGGAGGCCTACATTATGATCAAATAGCCACAGTAGCCTACATGGCCACTGTTAAAACTGTAACTTAAAGTGGGTACAGCCTCAGTGTTTACAGCAAAAGCGCACTGGAAGTTGCATACAATTTTCACAACATTCAAGTTTGCGCTCAGCAGACCTGAAATTTGCTCAGTGCCGGGAACATTGTTGGTGAGTGATGTAAAGTTTCTCCCATTTCTCTCTTGCTCATTCTCTCTGTCGCTCACTCAAACACGTGTGAAGTTGCAGAGAAGAGGACGAGATTAGCCAATTACACCCATTTCTAACACTGTTTGTTGCAGGAATTATATGACAGACACCTAACTTTTGAACAATATAATATTTTATTGTCTCTATTGCCTCTTTACACAAACTTCCTCAATTGGGGAACCTTTGTCCGGGACAATGTCCTCAGGATTATGGAGCGGTATGTTTATAAAAATAATATTACATGTATTAGGATTAAGCAAAACTTTACCATTTAGAGAGGAGTTAAACATTTTCATTATCCAACTACTGTCTAATTTTGATATCCTCTTTCTTCAAAATGTTTCTGTTTGATGACCAATTAATTAATGTCCGACTTCAATATGTAGGGACAGAGGAGCAAACATGCCATTGCTACCACTTTTAGTCGATTCTGACTGTTTAAGATATTTTACTGTGCGTTATTGTCATGTCGTGTACTGCATGCCCACATTATGCTAATCGTTAATCATTAAATGTTTTATGTTTACAGTAAGTGTCATGAAAACTCAGGAGATTGATGTGTTGCGGGCCCTCTGGAAAGTCCCGAAATATGCCCCTAAACCGTGTTGGTGAAGGACGCAAAGTATGTATATGAGCAAGTTGTTCTTTTTTAAAGACATCTCTAAGCTACAACTGCCACAAAATTCTTCAACTAGTACCATGCAAATACTTTTAGCCAGCTGAGTCCACAAAGTTTCTTCAAGAATGTCCTTTTCTAGTTTGCTTAAAAAATCTCAAATTGATAAAGTTGTAATGCGCTGATTCTCTTCACTGCAGATCTGATCCATCACACGACTCTTCAAGAGGGCCACTATGCTCCAGATCGCTTTCTGTGCTCAGAGGTCCTTGATGAGGATCTACCGCATCACACCACTCTTATTAATCATTAATCAAATAAAACAATGGGCCTTTATATACTCACAATATTTCTATGCATGTAATTTCTGTGGGTGAATTATGAAACAATTACTGTACGCAGGTTCTACATGGAACCAAAAAGTCTTCTGCCTAGAACCAAAAAGGGTTATTCGATGGGGACAGCTGAAGAGCCGTTTTGGAACACTTTTTTCTAAGAGTGTAGGTAATAAGCTGTAGTCAGGTGGTCATTACCAGGTTATGATGAGGTCTTAACTATGACCAGTAGGCTACATAATATAGCACATAATATAGTGGTCAGAATGATGACCAGTTGATCAGATAGAGGTCACAATTACAACCAACTGGTCGTATGGTGGTCTGAAAAATATGTAATATTCTGGTCAGTAAAAAGACGTTAGAAAACATACTTTTTCAACCAGTTTGCGACCAGAATAAAACCTCATACTGACGTCTTTTCAACCAGATCCTGACATGCAAAGTGTTTACTCCCCTTTTACGGATTTCCTCTGCATAATATTGATGTGTAGCCTATCTGCATTTCTCACTGGATCACCCAGCTACGTTTACAGGTTGCGTCCGCAGATCCTGGGTGAAAATGTTGGGGGTAAATTGGATTTGTTTCAGCCCCCATCCCTGCAAAAGCTTCCGATTGCACTGTACAAATTTAACTCACATTCACAGCTACTGTTCACTTCACTGCACAACCGCAGCGTTCAACCCACTGACATTATAGGTTCAACCCCAAAAGGAACATCGTTAGAAATTACAGTGAAAGAGACGCAACTGTGCTGTCATTGCAAACGCGCACCCGAAACCAACTGCGTGTTTCATCACTCCAAAACAGGGGTCAATGCGAGCTACCAGGCTAAATATAGCAACGTAGTTATAACACATTATGCGACAGATACATCCACAATACTAATTAAAATGGTAAACACACGAAAACCAGGGGCATATTTAAACATCAAAAACCTATGCGGCGTTCTACTGCACACTCCCGGGTATTTCTAGCCTAGATTACGAATGTGGGTCACCAGGCCTTCTGAATCAAGCTTGCATAGCTAAGAAAAAAAATACCTCCGTTTACTCCTCTTCAATATAACTGTGTCTGCACATAAACCTATGACAGGCGCGTTTCCAAATTACGTGGATTTTGTCGGTAAAAATTTAATTCTTACCTTGTCTGTTCATCTGGATTTCCCTGCTTCTTGTTTTGCTTCAGCTGGCCGCGTTGGGTTGAACTCATAGAGAATGATAGAGGCCTCTAGTGGCCAAAAAGCTATATTAGCATGGGCACCGCCATTGAGGGCTTCCACCATTTTAATGTAGTCAACTGGGTGGGACTTCCAACTTCATTGGCTGATCCTTCCTGGTGGGGTTTCCACTAGTTACCACAGCCACAAAGTCAAAATGGCTGTATGGTAAAAATTCATTCATTCAAAAACAAACATTTGCTTTTAATCTTAATTTAGGGTTAGGATTAGGCATAAGGATAGCAGTGTGGTTAAGGTTAGATTTAAAATATTATTTTAAGAAGAGAAATTGTAGAAATAGGCAGGGTTTATGACTTTGTGTCTGTGGTAACTAGTGAAGACCCTTCTGATGACCCTGTTGAAGTCATGTCCAACTGGGTCATCAGGAGGGATCAGCCAATCGTGAAGAAGAAAATGGACTACTTCAAAATGGAGATTGCCTCAATTGCGCCACCCATTCTGTCACAGACGCTATAATAGCACACGTACAAAAATGAGTCCTCTATCTATCTCTATGTTTGAACTGGATTTGAAAAAAACAGCAGGGTCTACCGCCGTCTCTTGACGCGCATGCGCAGCTTTTACTGAGCAATACATTTGGCACAATAAACTCATCTATAACCACGTGCCCATCCACGGTTTTCATGCGAGTAAAATCATTGGCTACTGCATACATATAGAAAAAAAATCACGACAGCTGTGATGGAAACAGGAAGTTTCGGTACAATTTTATAAATGCCGACAGATAGGCCTACTTTGTTCGTTCGATATGGTGGGATATTTTTGTATCGGAAAAATTTATTATGCGCGAAATGGCGGTGGAAACGCCTTTATGCGCAAGTATTGATATATTAACCATCATATCGAAGTAAACTTGGAATCACGAGATGATATGGCGTGTCGTCCTCACTACGACTCACTGGAGGGAAAATGCACATCTTTTCTTAATTCGGATTTTCGAATATTAGCATGAAAGTCTGTCGCCAATTGGATGGCAACCTAGCTACTGTTTTACAAATATTGTAAGATGTTTGAAGTATGTTGCGAAAAACATTCAAATTAATTATATTTATCTTTGATAATAACACAATCCTACAGTTCAACAACCATAAACATTTTTGTTGTTGAATTATACCATTTTGGAAGTAGGCTACATTTAGGAAAAAAGTGTTCCGTGCATAGGCCTACCTACATAATTATGAATATATCAAAGTAAATATAGATAAATGGCAAATTTAGTATTTTATAGGCATATTGAATAAAAAATGGTTATACATATATTCAATTATTTGTAATGTTTCATAGTTTATATTAGTGGTTAATTATCTGTGAACTAAAGGGTAACACCTCTATATAATGTATTGCTATTGAGACCTTTTTCTCACAATAGCCTACAAACATTTGCGCCTTCAGTTATGTGAAAAATGAGCTTTTAATTGTTTATATATTTATCATAAAACAGAACGACAACAAACACAATCCTTTCGCTTTTGCTGTTAGATGCTGTAAAGCAAACTTTATTTGATGTATTGCATTCCAATAAACAAGCAAGCTACTATTTTTGTTTCATAAGGATATTTTTTATTTTTAAGAATGATCAGGTTTTTGGCCACGCAGGTGATCTCTGAATTCTTGTTATACAATTGTTCAAAATCCTTGGCCTTCATGTGCCACTCACTGCGTTGGCAGGGTGCCAATTAAGTAAAACTCACGAACTAACCAACCTTCCCTGTGCACGTGGGAAAATACATGCTTGACAGATGATGTGTCGAATCACTGGATTGTGGGTTTGCAAGACCAAACCAAACAGCCATTTCAATTTCAGCCCCGAGCTCCCCACCTAAAAGCAACTGAATTGTAGGACTAAGTGGGAGCTTATCATGACTATTTGTAAATTGACGAGCTAACGTTAGCTATATAACACTTCTAGAATATTGTAATATATTGTTAATTACTAGCTAGCTAGATAATGTGCGTTTAATGAGCTTTCTTGCCGTATTTAAATGTCCTGTAGCCAACCATGGCAGTGGCAGCAAGAAAACGTCCATGGTTACAAATGTATCCAGTCGTGAAGCTAACTTTACACTTGTTTACTTCTCTCATCATATCAAGCCTACAGCTTTTGAAACTTTGTTGTCATCGACACGATGTGTCTGACCTTCCAGATATAACACTGGACCTCATCCATATGCCCCTGTGCCCAGATGTGGGAGCCATGGATCATCGTGATCATATGACAGAAGAACAAGCAGAGGTAGTTGTTTGTTTGATTTGTAATTTCGAAAGTTTATTATTCTTCTACAATAGGCCTATGTCCTACAACACATTATCATTCCCATAATAGATTCACTGTATTTCCTCAAAAGATCATCACTGAAGATACAGAGGAGATGTGCCTGTCTCAGATCCTTATGCATCATGACACCCCAATGTACGAGCCAGTGCCACCCTGGGCAAGGAGGCTTGCTGGTGTGAAGGAGATGGTGGCTGTCCAGTGGACGCTCCTGGGGGAGGTCACAGCCATGTGCAGGGTGCAGAAGGAGCTGCTGAAGTAGGAGAGAGAGAGATTAGCCCTGGAGAAGGAGAAACTAGCCCTGGAGAATGAGATGTTTGCCATGGAGAAGCGAAAAATAATAATATTGGGATGTGGCATCCTGTTTTGTATGCAGATGTTGTGCAAGATACATGCCGAGGTTATGATCTTGCATGTTTTTTCTGGGCTGTATAAAATAACTCCCCAGAGCGGTCAATGCATCTGAATCTGGATTTTAGGACTCCGATAGATCTCTCTACTAGACACCTTGTTTTCATCTGAGCATGATTATAGTTATCCTCTGCGTTGTTGTTAGTGTGTTATGAGCCATGTTTTTTGTCCATAGCCACTATCACCTAAACCCCCCAAAATACAAAGTATTAAATTTATATTATAAGAAGCAACACTATTTTAAGTGTGCTGTGGACCATAAAACAATTACACAGGTAACAGGTATCAGGTAAAGGAAAGAAAGGGTTAGTGATTTCTTTACCTAATAGCCATCCATCAGGAATGTGCCCTTCCTCAAACTTGACTCCCAGGGCTGAATTTGATCAAATGAAGGAGTCGTGTGCTCCCAGGCCATTTGGCAACAACATTTGTGAAGGCTAGTGTGGCATCGCAGACTACTTGGACATTGATAGAGTGGAAGTTATTTCGATTAAACATACATTTCCTCCTCTTCACGTGGACCCTATCAGGAGAAATGGTAAGACTACATCAGATACTTATAAGGCCTACTGAAATAATCCATTTTGGTGGGGTGCAAACTGTACTTATGTAGACATGTTTTGACAGAAGCTTGTCATTGTCACTGACCTTTATTCCCACATGGGTCCCATCCACTACACCAAGGACATTGGGGAAGTTAGCCACCTCAAAAAACTTTTGTTTGGTGCTTATTTGTTCAGCTGCAGTTGATGGGAACTTGATACATCTTCACACATGACGACACAGTGCATCACACACACTGCACTAACCACCCGACTCACAGAGGACTGACTAACTCCCACTGTCCCTGCTAGCAAGGCTTGAAAGGATCGCAATGCTAGGAATCTCAGGGCTATCTTGATTTGTAGGATGATTGGAAGAGGGCATGATTTCATGGTCTTTCTTTTTAAGTTTTCATTTAGAAGGTCAGCCAAGTACATGATAGTGTCATGGTAGTCGATATTGCCTCAGTAGAACATGGTCAGGGACATGTAGAGGATCCATCCGATCTCTGAGGGGCTTCTGTGGGTTCTCCCTCTCTCTAGCAGCTATCCAAAGAACTTCCATCCTTCAAAGTATCATAGTAAGCTTTGAATCACTAAATATTCATGTTTGATTATTACTGTTTTTGACTATTGCCATTAAATGGAAGTTGTTTGACTATTGTTATTTTAATACTTTAATAATACATTTAGCTTGTCTTCATTTGATTTTATATCACCATTTCAACTATTATTATTATAATATTCATTATTTAGTCAAATATGTAATTAAAAGCTTTTCAAATGAAGGTTTACATTGATGTTTTTAGTTAAAATGTATTTTTTTTTATTCTCACCTCCTGACCAGTCTGCGCAAGACAAGGGTTTAGCCGTCCTAAAGCTAAGTACATTTCCAAGAAGAAATCCAAGAACATTATTTTCAAGAATCCCATTTCTTCTTAACTTTTTTCTTAGGAAGAAATGTAGAAAGAAACATTTCCAATAACTTTATTGAGGAATAGCAACTTTTTGTAAGTTTCTTCTTAAGTATAAAGTTGAGGGGAAAATGGCACTTATTAAGACATTTCTTAAGAAGGTTTTGTGAATCCAGGCCCATTGCGTTTCACTCCATTAAATTGGCTAGGCAGGAGAAAACTGTACTTCCCAATTCGGTTGGAGGTAGCTAAGGGTGTTTTCACACTTTCAGGCAACTTTTGTGAACTCGGTGCAGTTCGCTGAATTTTTTTGTCCAGTGTGAACACTCCAAAGTAACTCAGACCCCTCAAAAGAGCCCCCAAAGCGAACTGAACTGAGACCATCTCGAGAGGTGGTCTGAATTCGATTTGCTTGAATTTCTCGGTCCGGTTCCCTTTTTTAGGACAATGTGAACACAAAGCTCCCCAGGTTCGCTTGTCATTATTCCCACAGCAGACACTAGAATACTGCAAAACCGTTTCCCCTGCGATAACCCCTCACATTGGTGCCACAAAAGAGGGAAGATGATGAGCAGGTTCTCAGACAAAAACGTGTGTGGTTTTGGCATATTGTTTAGCAATTGGCAAAGGATGTACAGAAATTGCAAAATATGTGTGGAGTTTTTAGTTCAGATATGTCACAACTCCTGCCGAGGCTGCCTCCCCTCCTTGTTCGGGCAGGTTTCGGTGTTCGTCGTCACCGGCTTACTAGCCACTGCCACTCCATTATTCTTCATTCCATTTGTCTTGTCTTGTCTTGTCTTGTCAATCACACATACCTGGTTCTTATCCCCTCATTAGTCCGTGTATAAGTGTTCCCTCTGCCCACCTTGTCCTTGTGGGTGATTGTTTATTTGTGAGAGTAGTGTAGCTCGGAGGAGCTACTCGTACCTTATTATTGCCGGGGTAGATATTTCCCCTGTGCCTGTTATTGTTGGAGCTACCGTTACCTTGTATAGCCAGGGTAGATTTTCCCCCTGTGCCTGTTTCGCTTGTCGCTATCCAGCGCTATTTGTGTACGACGGAATAAACTCTGCATTCGGTGATAATGTGTTTGCAATATGTGATTTATAAAGAGAGCTTCATAAACTGCTTATTCTCTTGTGGGGTTTGAATAGTGTGAGAAGATTACAACATATTTGGTGAGAATCACAACATAGGGTACAAAATCTATTCTAGCTCTTAAAGGGGCAGTAGCCTACATTGGGTGCATTGTGTAATCTGCAGTTATTCTTCTGCTATTTATTCTGTTACCAATAGTATTTACATGTAAATAGTATCTTCTGATTACAATTATGTATCATCTTTTAACTAAATGCAATCTATTAGCTTCCAAAATGTAAGTAGGTGTAAAGAGTGCATTCGGAGAGTATTCAGACCCATTGACTCTTTCCACATTTTGTTACGTTACAGCCTTATTCTAAAATGGATTAAATAATTGTTTTCCCTCATCAATCTACAGTCGTGGTCAAAAGTTTTGAGAATAACACAAGTATTGGTCTTCACAAAGTTTGCTGCTTCAGTGTTTTTAGATATTTTTGTCAGATGTTACTAAGGTATATTGAAGTATAATTACAAGCATTCCATAAGTGTCAAAGGCTTTTATTGACAATTACATTAAGTTTATGCAAAGAGTCAATATTTGCAGTGTTGACCCTTCTTTTTCAAGACCTCTGCAATCCGCCCTGGCATGCTGTCAATTAACTTCTGGGCCACATCCTGACTGATGGCAGCCCATTCTTGCATAATCAATGATTGGAGTTTGTCAGAATTTGTGGGTTTTTGTTTATCCACCCGCCTCTTGAGGATTGACCACAAGTTCCCAATGGGATTAAGGTCTGGGGAGTTTCCTGGCCATGGACCCAAAATGTCGATGTTTTGTTCCCCGAGCCACTTAGTTATCACTTTTGCCTAATGGCAAGGTGCTCCATCATGCTGGAAAAGGTATTGTTCGTCATCAAACTGTTCTTGGATGGTTGGGAGAAGTTGCTCTCGGGGGATGTGTTGGTACCATTCTTTATTCATAGCTGTGTTCTTAGGCAAAATTGTGAGTGAGCCCACTCCCTTGGCTGAGAAGCAACCCCACACATGAATGGTCTCAGGATGCTTAACTGTTGGCATGACACAGGACTGATGGTAGCGCTCACCTTGTCTTCTCCAGACAAGCTTTTTTCCGGATGCCCCAAACAATCGGAAAGGGGATTCATCAGAGAAAATGACTTTACCCCAGTCCTCAGCAGTCCAATCCCTGTACCTTTTGCAGAATATCAGTCTGTCCCTGATGTTTTTCCTGGAGAGAAGTGGCTTCCTCGCTGCCCTTCTTGACACCAGGCCATCCTCCAAAAGTCTTCGCCTCACTGCGCGTGCAGATGCACTCACACCTGCCTGCTGCCATTCCTGAGCAAGCTCTGCACTGGTGGTGCCCCGATCCCGCAGCTGAATCAATTTTAGGAGACGGTCCTGGCACTTGATGGACTTTCTTGGGCTCCCTGAAGCCTTCTTCACAACAATTGAACCTCTCTCCTTGAAGTTATTGATGATCCGATAAATGGTTGATTTAGGTACAATCTTACTAGCAGCAATATCCTTGCCTGTGAAGCCCTTTTTGTGCAAAGCAATGATGACAGCACGTGTTTCCTTGCAGGTAACCATGGTTAACAGAGGAAGAACAATGATTTCAAGCACCACCCTCCTTTTAAAGCTTCCATTCTGTTATTCTAACTCAATCAGCATGACAGAGTGATCTCCAGCCTTGTCCTCGTCAACACTCTCACCTGTGTTAACGAGAGAATCACTGACATGATGTCAGCTGGTCCTTTTGTGGCAGGGATGAAATGCAGTGGAAATGTTTTTTGGGGATTAAGTTCATTTTCATGGCAAAGAGGGACTTTGCAATTAATTGCAATTCATCTGATCACTCTTCATAACATTCTGGAGTATATGCAAATTGCCATCATAAAATCTGAGGCAGCAGACTTTGTGAAAATTAATATTTGTGTCATTCCACGACTGTACACACAATACCCCATATATTCCTGTTTGATATGCAATTATATAATTATATTGGACATGTTATCCTTTATCACATGCCAGTATTTGTATCCAATGCATTTTGCTTATATTAGGATAAAGTAGCCTAAGCCTTCTTATCTACATTTTAGTCATTTAGCAGACGCTCTTATCCAGAGCGACTTACAGTTAGTGAGTGCATACATTTTCATACTGGTCCCCCGTGGGAAACGAACCCAAAACCCTGGCGTTGCAAGCGCCATGCTCTACCAACTGAGCTACAGGGGACCAGTAGATTACATTATATCACCTTTCAATATTAGTTATCAACGAATATAAAACCATGT